ACACACACACACACACACACACACACACACACACACACACACACACAGCACACCTTTAAACTATAACGCAGTAACGTTTACTCATAGTACGTTTGACATTTTTACTTTTACCTGCGTGAGTTCAATATTCTACTCTTTCCACCTCTGACTATTCGTGGAGTCTAATTTCCAATTAAGTCTTTTTTTATCGTGAGTGAGAATGAATTTAATGTGTCAAGAAAAGACATTATAGCTCTATCAGTGAGAAAATAGCTTGTTGGAATATATTATATGTTGACATCTTGTTTGCAACTCTTAAAGTCGCACGCTCTCAATTCAAAAGTTGCACCACGGTCCATCGAGGAGAGGATTGCTCCACCAGCGTCTCGTGATCTTGTAACTGTCGTTTGATTGTCTTCTTTTATCAAGAAGTGCCTGTCCTTGGGGTTTCTCCTCTTCACTGGTGTAGAGAATGTACCGGAGAGTAAACAACACACACTGATGACGTGAGTGTGACTGATCGCATCTCTCCATCTACACCAGCCCGTTCTTATTCCCAGGATGTCAAATAGCGACGCTTTATCACGGCCCTCTGCGTCTGATATAAGACGCACCGAGCTTTCAACTCCAGTGTAAACCCATCCGAGTCAATTCTTACACCTATTCTTACTGGATGCAATACAGACGAGCAAACATCAGATTGTTTCAGTTTGATGTCCGAACCTGCTCCACAGATCGGCTTACAGGCTTGTTCGCAAAACCTCTCATCCGCTTTTTGTTTTGTGCAGCTGCTCCGCCTCGCTGACAGTAGCTGACAGTTCAATCAATATCACCCTGCATTACATAGAAAGCGTGACACTCGTTACTGTGTAACAGCGTGAGAAAAATCTGACATAAAGCTCAGTGCACGTAATAGTTGCTGAGCGATACGTGCACTGGCTGAGTGCATTGTGTATTTGCATGGAGTGCATTTTTTACTATTAATTTCAAGTTTTACTCATTTAAAACATCTTTGGATAATTGTGTGTCGATCATTCATTGTAAAATCACATTGGGTGTTAGGATGGCTAACGATGGACCCCACCACCACCACCTGTGTTAGTGCCCACTCACCCGCCTCCACAACGTGGTCCATGGTGGGGAAACGCTTGAATACGGCCGTGCTGACAGAGCGGAGGATGAGCAGGGCCGACAGACTGGCGTAACGCATCATGGTTCGTCTCAGCAGGCGGCCACGCTCATCGGTCCCTTGGAGGCCCCCCGACAGGACGCACATGAGCCTGTCAGGGAGCGGGATGCTGGTGTACTGGCTCCACCACCGGTTCACCACCAGGGTCACATAGAAACCTGCAGACAGCAGAGGAGAGGAGTCACAAGTCATTGAGACAGAGAACAGACCTGGAATGAGGGGCTGAAGGCGTATTTTGCCAAATGTTCTGTCAAGAACAGTCCTATGGGTTCCCTATACGGGCCTCGGGGGCCCCAAGCACAATAAAAAAATGATTTGGCTTTACTGTCATTTCTGCTATTGAGCTCAACTGATACATCAGATAATCATATAATCGTATCACATACTGTATAAGCTATAGCACGTATTTAAGATGATTCATGCAGGGAGAACAATAATGAAAAACAATCAGATTAATAAACAGAAAAATGTACTGTGGACTCTGTAAAAATTGTAAAGTGCAATCCTTGTTAAAAAATCCTCTATCCAGTCATACTGTAGCTTAAGATCTGTCCTCTCTTCTGTTATCCCAAAGTGGGAAATAAAATCCTTAGTGCTTACCCAGTACGAAGGACATGGGGATGAGACTGGCGTAGTGGTTACAATAAATTGCCAGCTTTTCAAAATACCTCTTCTGATCATCAAACAGGAAAAATCTAAAAGAGTAACAGTGATACAGTCATTTGTAAATCAAAGCAGCGATAAATGTGTGACAGCCAGTGTTCCCTGAAGCTGTCCTCTCTGTCGTACCTGTATGTGATGCTGATGGCGGTGTACATGGCAAAGAAAGCCAGGAACTCTTTGTATAACACCTTGTAGATGCTGCCTTTCCAGGCCAGAAGCAGCTTGGAGAAGCCACAGAAACGGGCGTTTGCAACTCTGGCTGTGTAGGTGACAGTCATTGGTGACAGCCAGATTATAGGTCCTCAATAAAAGAGCTGTGTGGAAGAAACAATCGCCTCTGTGATTACACCTGCAGGAAACAAGCATGCTCATGTAACAAGTGCAGGTGGGTCAGAAGCCACGGACAGATCAATCTTCACTCGACTCAAACTAAACAACTCTCTCTGGTCTTTATTTTTGATTCACATTCAAAGTATTTTCCCAACGGAATCACACTAACAGAACGGACTCTAAATGATTTTGAATGTATTTAGTCTTGATAGAATACTTCTTACCTTTTCTGGTGTTCTCTCTTGATGAATGTGCCAATTGCTCAGCGCGTAATTGGCCCCACTGGAGAAGTGAATTCACATTTTCACTTATCAGTATATAGTCTCCTCTGTGCTCGCCAGTGGAGTTTTTTTTTCCAAAGAGCTCATAACTCTGATATCCCCCGGCGTCAGCTCGGTCAACTCGAGGCTCGGTCGGCTGCATGGCAGTAATCCTTCGGAGCCTCCTCGGTGCGCCCAGTGCGCCCCGGGGTAAATCCCCAAAACGAGGAGGAGGAGCTCATTAGCGCGGCCCCCGACCGGGAGAGCGCGGCTCGGTGATGGACCACAAGCGACAGGCCGCAGCGCCGGGGCACAAGGAGCGCACAGGACCGTACAGTACAGTCGGGAATTATGAAACAGGAGCAAGTGAACCATGGCAAACTGTCGTGTTAACTGATATGAAAACAACAACCAATTGTAACGCTTACAGGTTTATAATTATGCTTGTTGAATAACAAAAAAAAAAGATTTCCTGCATTGGAGAAAAAGGCGTCTTCCTGCGTGCGTCCATCCTCTGAGACTTGTTTGTTTCCCTCTCTAACAAAAAACCCAGTGGGGTGTAATAATCCCACTTGTTACCAATGCACTTTCCCACCAGGACATATTTGTCAAAAAATAAATCATTTATTACGACTCAACAGACTAAATGACTTTTGGTGACTTAAGCAGTGACCCTCGCTGTGCCTCGTGAGGCCTACAATATTCTTAAGGACTCGTTTGTGTCGTTTAGTGTTGCTGTGGCTCATAATGATCAGAGTCAGTGCCTCCTGAACTGTGGTGCTGGAGGTTAACTGGGACTTCGTGCTCTGTCAGAGGCAATCTGCAGCCTGGTCGGTTTAGGTCTGTGCGCGCTCTTATGGAAAATAGCTTCGCTCTACTTTAATCAACAGAATAAAATGAAAAATGACAAAAGACTCGACTGAGGCAATCTTTTTTTTAATTAACACTCACAACATAATGAAAAGAAAATCTATAGAAAACAGATTATTGACCCAAAAGCATTCAGTGACAGGAAGGGGGGGGGGGTAACTATGAAGTACCAGTGAGCCAATCAGGAGTCCAGTATTCAATCACCAGGGCAAAGATGCTGTGATTGTACTTAAACAACTCGCTGTTCATTTGTTCCACATTTTGATCGAGCAACATTCAATATGTTTTATTAACAATGCACTAAGAATAAGGCTACTAATGTACTTCAGTGTTCCCATATAGTTGTCTGTAAACAGGGTGCACACAGAACGTTTGACCGAGTGCTTGTGTGGGAACCTGCCTGCATGGTGCCGGGACTTCAGCTGTGGCAAACTCTTTCATCTTCCAGCTGCTCACACATTTCTGCCTTTGAATCTCATCAAACTAGAGTCGTCTCTAAACAAACAGCACCTGAAGCAGCCGCAGTGGCCTCAAGTATTTAACAGAAGCCATCAAGACTGTCGCGACACAGCCACATATAGATGTATAACTCCCAACTGCACTCGATTCAAAATCTCATTGACATTATGTTACTGCATTTACACCAGGACCATATGGTAATGTGAGATCTAATGATTTGACACATGGTAAAATACACACTACCAACTGCTCTGATTCTTTTATTCATATAGTTTATAGGGAAATTATCTTTCTGTGCATGAAATTTTGGTCAAAAGTCAAACTGGAGAACAGACACAGCCACCAAACCACACAGAAGAAACAAAGCATCAACACCGACCATCTGAAAGCTGTTTTATCCTGGAACACACAGCACCGTCACGGGAAACACTTTGTTTTCACAACTGAGGCCAGACACTGAAGGATGGAGGATGGAGGATGGAGAGGGGGGGGGGGGGGGG